TGGCTGGGCGCTGCCTCTTGATTTATACTTCAGAAACTCGTTGGCCTGCCCTTTGCCATCGGCCCTTGGTGCTCACAGTCCCCCTGTGGTACTTGCTGGACCGGACTGGGACTGACTGGACCTTCCGCTGACTGAGTGTGGACTCACCGCTATCCTACCGACGTTGTACTGCTGTTGCACTGCGGTTTAGTCCACCACTTGCCTCACCTTTTGACCACTTGCCCACTTGCCTACCTTCTAGAAGGTCTACAGCTAAGTTTCCGGAACTCACTAAGACTCCTACGCTATAGACCTACAGATCGAACCCCTGCTGCGTATGGACCTACGACAGGCCTACCAACTGCCTACAAATGCACAGGTCACAGGTTCAATTCTCGGGGTCTACAGAGATACTGTACATGGGTAGGGTGAGGTCTAGGGATCGAACCCTGCGTACTGCATCAGCTACTGCTAAAACGTGAAAACCGTTTCATTTTAAATGTTTTTCAAACATTTTTGCCATTGGTTGTGCTGATGATGGTGCAGCGGCAGGCAGGATTGCATGATGAAATTGAGAAATAGGAGGGCATACTCACACTGCGACCCCAAGTGCGCGAAATAAGCAAAAATGCGGATTTGGGAAGGGCTGATTTGAGGTTTTGGGCATGGTTCGGGTCACACTGCTGTACCTTTTCGGATGGGACAAGGCAGTGGCCGTCCCGAGAAATGGCGGTTTGGTATTTCGCTGATCACACCGCGCGATCCACAAATCTTGCAAGAAATTTTGGTGAACGAATTTTCACCAATTTTCTAAGAAAATGCAAAAAAATAAATAGGGCATTTGCGGAAATTGTGCCAGGGTTTGCCTGGGTCGGCGTGTGTCTGCATGTTGGTGGATCAAACAGTCCCGACGGGCTGGCGCCAATTGTGCCGGGGTCATGATCACGCTAGCTTCCATAAGAGGGGAGATAAATAGGGCAATTATTTTTATCTCCCCTCTTATGGATGGGCTGGGTCGGCGTGTGTCTGCATGTCGGTGGATCTAACAGTCCCGACGGGCTGGCGCCAATTGTGCCGGGGTTGATGTGTTGCTGCTACGTGCTGCAGGGCACAGGCAAACCCCGAGCTTGCTGGTTGGCCCAAGCAGGGTGAAGATCGCGGGATGCATGTGAGGCGTGTCACGACGGATGGACTGTCAACACCGGAGTTTGGGGGAAGGTGATCGAGAAGTTCTTATGGAATTGAGACTTGAGAGAGAGAAGCGTGATGTGTTTCTGGCTTGTTCGTTGTCTTGTTAGTGTGATTCTCTCCCCCTTCAAGTTAGCATTCTTTATCTAAATTTGTCTATACATTCTTCTCCGTATCCCCCCTCTTCTTTTTCCCCTTCCTCCGAGTGTGTTATCAAGTTTAAATATTTTAATATGATTTTGAGTGTCTCCATCTTGGCGCCAACTCGAAAATGATCGTAGATACGAGTTTTCCTGTGGCCAGCCCCGTTAGCCACAGGAAAAATCCTATGATTCCTATCTATGATTGTTTTTGAGACCAGAAGTTGAATAAAGAAAGATTCACCAGGGTCAGGGTCGTAAAGATCGGACACCACAGGGTCAGCGGCGTAAAGATCGGGCGTAAGGCACAACTCCTATCAGCCCTATTGCCTTCGTATCCCTGAGCGCGCCCTTCAGTTTGACCCAGCTGAATGCTATTGGACCAAACACAATGAAGATACAATAGAGCTGTTGGCCCGGTTCCCAGTTCGTGCTTCTCCCCACGAATAGATCGGAGCCTTGCTTTGTTTTTTTGTTGGTTAAAAAAAAGAGAGGAAAAAGAGCTATGCCAGTGCACCACCAGACAGCGATGTAGACTTTTGAGACAACAGAACAAATCTAAAAGCAAAGCAAACAGTAGAAGATGGAGACAAGGACTCGTACCAACCCTTAGAACAGAACCACACGTTAACTGGAAACATATCCTTATTCTCTGGAGGTGAGGTGTGGATTCCGAGGCCCGGGCAGTCTTCGTGGATCGCGGTGAGGTGGTTTTCTAAGTGTTCAAAAAAGGGGATTTCCCATAGCTCTTCTGGAAAGTAGCTTATCTCAGGAGTCTGTTGTCGACTCAGCCGGAAGTTAAAAAAAAAAAGGAAAAAAAAGAAGGATCAAGGAGACAACACTGGTTCAGATCATGAGCTTTAGGTGGCAATTAGCACGTGGACAGTTACTTACCAAAATGGATTAACAAATATAAAATATCAAAAAAGGGAATTTGTATATATACCAACCCAGACATGAAGGGACCTGACGCATCGCTATTGAGACATTGGAGCATTGGGAGCAGGATCAGACACAGGGGAAGTATAGAACAGTACACGGTAGGGTCGAATGGGTTGTTGGGTGGGTGGGCACAGGGAGGCGACCATGGCCGCCACACAGTAGCAGACAAGGGACTGGGCCAGCAGCACAGACAGCGTAACAGTGTGAGATCGCATAATAATGACCATAAGGTAATTGGGTACGGGGTTTTGGAAGGGTGGGTACAGGGAGGCTGGCCGCCTCACACTACCACATAACCACACAAGGGACTAGGACAGCAGCTCGGACAGCAGGCGGAAGAGGGCTGAAGGGTTTAAGGGTTTACGGGCTTAAGGGTTGAATTAAGGGTTTAAGGGTTTCAGGGCAAAAGCAGGGGTTAAGGGAATCAGGCGCGGAGGGTAGAGGCCCTACTAGAGGGACAATATCATGCTGCACAGGAACAGACACCACAACCTGAAACGTCTTAACACAGAACTCGGCGTGTCCACAA